GGGATGGTTCTTTTGTCAGAACCTCTTCCTACGATCTGGCATTGGCGATCCACAACTATTTGCTGAAGGGATTTGTCTGCCCTATGTCCAGCCCGTCCTTCCCAAGAGAAGAGATGCAAACAAAATTGTGTCACAGGGACATAGTGGCCTTGAGTGGTCTCTGAGGAGGAAATATCTCATGCTTCACTCTCTTTCCCAACTGTCTGATCCCAAGCTTTATAGTCTGGGTCCTGTTATCCGTCCTCCTTTTATGGATGGTCAGGTGGGGATCCATCTGCCACCTACAGACCCCAGTTTCCTGCTCAGAGGGCACCATACATTATATTTTCCCCATGACTCCAGGTGAGGGACAGGCATTCCACTGAGCAGATGGGGTCTGGGCCTCCAGGCTGGGAAGGAAAGACGGTATTCAAGCCACTTAATCTGGTGATGGTGGTTCTCTTGTCTGCTCTGTCCCCTTTTACTTTAGACCTGTGTTAGATCAGCAGAAGCCACTCACATCTCTACCACCTACATGGAGTTGAGGACAGCAGGGGCAGAATGTCAGACAGAGCTACTACCGTATGAAACACCTGCTCTGGACCAGGCATCGTGCTGGGCTCTAGGGACACAGATGAGCCGGACAGGGTTCCCAAGGGAGGCCTTCCTTACTCTAAGTTCTTCGGGCAGTCCTTCTGCTTCAGGTCGGAGTCAAGCTCTGTGGATTCCTCCCTAACAAGGACCCCAGCTGACAGCTGGCTGGCACAATGCTGCTTTTTCCTTTCCTCAAATAAGAATTCAATGTCTAAAGCTCGCTCCTCTCTCGGTGGCTGCTGGACTTCCCTGGAGGACACATTACTATCAAGTTGCACTTCCAGTTAAAAGAGTTAGAAGCACTTTTTAACAACCTCACCATCACCATCGTCATCATCATCTTCTTCTTCTCCATCATCATAATCATCATCATAGAATTAGCAAACATTTTTGGTGTGGCCAGTACCAGGTGATGACTTTAGGTACTTTGTTTTTTTCATTTAATTCTCATGGCAACTCTGCAAAGTAGACATTATTACCCCGTTCTTACAGATGAAGAAATTGGAGCTCAGAGAGGTTAAGTAAATTTCCCAAGGTCACACGGGTAGAAAGTGGATGCAAAAGACTTTAAACCCAGTTGTCTGAGATAAATGGATAAAGAAGATGTGGCATTTACATACAATGGAATATTACTCAGCCATCAAAAAATGACATCTTGCCATTTGCAACAACATGGATGGAACAAGAGGGTATTATGCTAAATGAAAGAAGTCAATCAGAGAAAGACAAGTACCATATGATCTTGCTCATATGTAGGACTTAAGAAACAAAACAGAGGATCATAGGGGAAGGGAGGGAAAAATAAAACAAGACGAAACCAGAGAGGGAGACATAAGAGACTCTTAATCATAGGAAACAAACTGAGGGTTGCTGGAGGGGAGGGGGGTTGGGGGATGGGGTAACTGTGTGTCGGGCATTAAGAAGGTCATGTGATGTAATGAGCACTGGGTGTTACATGCAGCTGATGAATCACTGACCTCTATCCTTGAAAGTAATAATACACTATATGTTAACTAATTGAATTAAATAAAATTAAATTAAAAAAAATAAGTCCAGTTGTCTGATTCCAAAGCTTGTGTTATTTTCACTAGGCCATGCTGCTGCCGTAAAGGCTACCATTTACTGACTACCTAAGTACCAAGCCCTGTGCTAGGTGCTTTATTTCAGTTAACCCTTCCAATGGCATTCATGAAATAGTCATTATTACTGCCCATTTGTAATTGGAGGCCCATGCACAAAGGTTAAATCATTTCCTCTGAGGTCACACGGTGCTGGTGGGAGGTAAAGCCAAGATTCAAACTCTGGGCACTTTCTGTGAAGCCACATTCCTTCGTACGATAGGAAGGCAGGCCACAACCCACACCTGGTAAGGGGTTCCACTTCATCCCAACTATGTAAATAAGCACTGGTCTGCAGACCCAGATCAAGACAGAGGATACCCCATGGGCAGTCTAATGAGAAAAGCATTTGATGCCTCATGTTTCTAAGTTTCTGGTCACTTGGGCTTTTTTTTTTTTTTTTTACATAAAAATCTGTTTGGGGATACTGAGTAGTGACAGACCGCTGTTTCTTCCAAATCTAGATGAGCAAGGAGCAGGGATATAATGGTTTGGGCACATATTAGGTGAAAGGAATTTTTACAGTAACATTTAGAATCTTCCGTTATCCATTCATTTGTAGAGTGAATACCATATTCCAGGCCTTGCCCTAAGTGTGATAGGTTTGGAGAGATGAACAGTCTCTGCTTTCAAAGCATCTGTAGTTTAACTGAAGGTGACAGATACATAAACAATGATCTGGGAGCCGACTTCTCCTCCTGCCTCTGCTACTCATCTGTAATATGATTTTTAGCAGATGATTTAACCTCCCTCGACTCTGAATCCTCAGTATAAAATTAAGTAAAATAGATAATGTATCCATCCATCCTCCCTCTCTCCCTCCCTCCCTTCCTCCCATTTCTTCATTGTTCAAGGCAATATGTACGCATGTTTGTTTTGAGCATCTACTAAGTGCTAAAATGAGTAAGATGCAGTCCTTTCCTGGAGGACTCAGTTTAGAGGGTTGATGGACATTTACATATGTGTTATATTAAGCCACTTGCCCAGAGCCATGTACCCGGTAGTGGCAGAGCCAGGATCGGAAACACAAGTTGGCCTGACTCCGAGGCCTGTTGCTCTCCCCTTCTGTTGAGAGGTTCCTTCTCCTGGTACAGCTTTCTCAAGTTCCCTGCAAGTCAGACCCGCTGGAGCCACAGTGGCGAAAGCCTGCGTGGGTCCCCCAGGGGTCTGTGGCATGTAAGCAGCAGGCTTTGGTGGGTCACCAGAAGACATGCAGGGGGCGTGGTCCCTGCTGGCACTGATCAGGATGGCACGGTAAGGGTCCTGCCCACTGGCAGCCAACCAGCCAGAACCCTGATCAGATCCCATAATGGGCCCAGTAAAGAAAGGCTGAGCAAGGAATATTCCCCTTGGTAGGAATAATATGCCTATCTCCGGTTGATTAAAAGAACATAGGCCATGAGAAGGCCTACAAGCATATACAAAGTCACACAATTGAATAAAAGAGCAGGAAGCTTCCTACCCAGAGACAAAAGCAGCATTTCTGACCAAGATAAACGAATAGGTTTCTCATCTCTCTAGTTCTGCTCCTGGCTCAGCCACTTCACTAGCCTGTGAATTTGGGAAGGTCATTTAACCTCTGCGGTTCTCAAGATTCTTGAGGTGAGTTGAAAGGTTTGGACTACAAAGCACTTTCATCTCTAAAAAGGTTAAAGTCTGAATGATTTTACGCACTCCTATGACGCCCCACCCGCTGGGCTCAGAGTACCCCCCCATTTCACTCTCCCTGGCCTGTCCTTGTTCCTTGTGAGGAGGGACAGGGCAGTGGGAGGCAGGGGCTCTGGACCCCACAGTCCTGTGGTGTGAAGTCCAGAACCCGGGCTCCATCCCGTCCCAACAGGGGGGGCCTTCTCCTTTGATTCCTAGTTATGCTCCGGAGATGACCACACCCCCTCGCCTCCCAGGGCGGGTCCTTCTACGGTCCCTGCCCTTTTCCCCTCACACATTCGCCTCGAGCAAATTTGTGTGCTCCTGGTTTCGACTCCTGCTTGCTTCTTGAAGGCTCGCAAATCAACACCTCTAACCTCCATGTGAGCTCCAGAATAGCTTATGAACTACAAAATCTCCCTTCCTTGCCCTTACTGTGCAGGGGGGAGGTCATCACCTGGCTCCCAACCATCCTGCTGCTCTCAGATCCCCAACCTGGTGAAGGCAACACCATCTCCCAAGGCATCTGAGCAAGAGACTCCTGCATTCCTCAGGCCCAAGTGATGCCTAAGCCCTGCTGATCTCCCCCTTTAAACAGAACTTGAGGAGGGCCTTCACCCTTCCCGCCCCTCACCACAAGCCCATTGTCCCCGCGGGACAGGAACTCTCTGGCACAGAAGTCATGGACACAGAAGGGACAAAATCCCTAACTGCTGAACTGAACTGTGCTGGCTTTTAGAGAAAGCTCTGCATGTAAGAGGCATCCCTACACTGGAAGACATTCCAAAAGAAATTATTACAAGTCACTCTTGGATGCTATGCCTGGGTCACAGAGCCCGGTCGGGGGAGTGGAGAATAGAGAGCGGTCTTTTGCTGGCCCCGTTCGCTTTCCAGCCCCGGTCTTTGTACAAGCTGTTCTCTCTCCTGGGAACACTCTCCCCTCCCTGGCTGAGGCCATCATGTCTCATCTTTAAGACTCTGTCCTTAAGTCATGGTTTTCCCCTCCCCAGGAGCACCTCCTCGACGGTCCCAGAGTACCCTGAGGGCACAGTTCTGGTGGATCATCCTGGAGGTCTTTTTTTTTGTCCCCTTAGTGGACACTGGGAGTGACCCATGAGCAGGGACATGTCCTATTCACCTCTGTGATTCCAGCACAGGACCTGGCACAGAGTGGACCTCAGTGAACAACTGTCCAGTGGGTGACAGACACAACTGAACACTTGTGAAAGAATGCACAGGCAGACGGCCTGGGGGGCCAGCCGCTGCGCCCCACCCCCCACCGTCTTCTGGACATCAGCTCTGAGGGTGAACAGTGTTAAAGCGTTTCTGCTCGTCTGGAGAAGGCAGAATCAGTAAGAGCTGACTGCAAAGAGGGTATTGATCCAAGATTCCCCTTGGACCTTTGATTTCTCACTCTCTCCATCTATCACCCAGCGGGAACAACACAACTTGGCTCATTAAAATTCCAAATGCCTGGGATAGCAGTTTTCTAAGTGTGGGCACCTGAAGCTGCTTCTCTGCCTCCCGTGACATTCCACCGAGAGCCTTTGATGCCCACCCTTCTGGCTTCCTCCCCACCCCCACCACCCCAACGGTGGCCCGAGAGATGATTCAGTTCTCACGCAGACAGCCACGGCAGGGGCTGGGCCCCAGGAAACTCACCCTCCGTCAAAGGGGTTCTCCCCGGGAATGATGTGCGTGCTGTCCCTGCCCACAAGGAACTTGATGCGGTCGTAGAAGGAGTGCAGGTTCTGTTGGGACGCGGGGGACTGTGTCTCCTGGATGATGTCCAGAGGGTCGGGGGAGCCCAGGCACAGCGGGTTGACATGGCAGAGGGGCTGGAGGCAACAGTCAGGGTCCATGCAGTCCAGCAAGCCATCTGCAGGGGTGACAGAGCATGAAGTTCATACTGCTACAGTCCACCAGCCGCGTCTCTCCACAATGCCTTCGTTCATGTCTCTATTTTCCACTCACTGAGACACTTGATTAAGGACCTGACATAAGCCAAGGCCTTTGTGGGGAGATCCAGGGGCTTCAGATCTGCTCCCAGCCCACTCATCTAGTCGAGGAGACGGACAAGCCCGTGTACAGGGGCACAGGTGGGGATAAGGTGTTTCTGTTTCTTTTTGAAGAGACAGAGGGAATTCTATGAGGGCCCAGGGGTGGGAGAATATATGGAACATCTGAGCTGCTCAGCTCAACTCAGAAGGTGAGGGACGAGCCCAAGAAGAGACTGTCGATGCTGGTGGAAGCAGAAGTATCAGGGACACGGGCCAGCTTAGGGAGTTTGCCTACCACCCCCGGAATGGGCATGGTGGGAGCTCCTGGAAGGTTGAAAGCCTGGGGGACATCTTCTGATCTGCATCACTGAAAGAAGCTCTCCTGTAACCAGGAGGGGGGACTGAAGCTGGCCCAGAGTGGAAGCTGGGGGCCCCACGGTGGGCAGCAAGGGCGTCTCTGAGGTTGCACAGGGCACAAGAGATCAGAGCAGGAACAGTGGAGGTGGGGAGAAGTGGGTGGTTTGGAGGGACATTTAGGGGTTATGAGCAATAAGAGCCGGGGAGGGGGGACAGGAACAGCCCAGGGTGACAGTCTGTATGCTTTGTTGTAGAGAGCAGTCTAAGGGCACGTGTTCCTCTGGGTTCAAATTCTGTCTCTCTTGCTTATTAGCTGGGCACCCCACCATCCTGGAGACCTAGATCCTGTTCCAGTTACCTCTGTTGTGTCCCCAGCACTTAGTCCAAGAGTTTAAAACATGGCTGTGAAGTAACTACACAAATGAGAATTGAATGAATTGACAAATGCATCAGGGGATGAAACCAAATAACAGTCCATGAAAGCCAGAAAACCACTATCTTTGTTCACTTCAGCTCAACAGTGTGGTATGGTGGGAGCATCATGAAGCTCAGGCTGCAGCTCAGGTCCCAGAACTGCCCCTAAGCATGCCTGTGGACGGATGCCTGCTCTCATTCTCTGAGCCCCAGTCTCCTCATCATTGACATGCCTCCCTCGCTTCTGTCTCCCAGGGTTTACGATACAGATGCCGCCCACCAGAGCACAGCATAGCCTGAGCCAGATTCAGTGCCCCATCCACACAGGTGGCCCCCCTAAGCCCCCTTACTAGCCTCAGACGTATTGTGGCCTCCGGTAAGCTACCTGACCTCCCTGAAATCCATTTTTTTTCCCTTAGTAAATTAGGGACAAAAATCCCTTGTCTTTCTTGCCTACTTCTGCATGGCATTCCAGACTTCATGACTTCCTTGAGGGTAGTGCGGCATCGACAGCCAGATTGTCTGGGGTCAAACCCTGGCTCTGAAACTTACTACTTGGGCAAGTTACTTAAACTCTCTGGTCCCCGTTCCCCATGTGTCTTACAAGGGGATTATAAAAGTGTCACGTAAGTATTTGTGACATAAATACAAAACATAGTATATGTCCCCAAATCTAGCAGAGTACTGGGTACACAGTAAGTACTTACTAAGAGGTGGCCCCCCTTCCTGTCCCCGAGTCTACAACATGGCTCACCAAAGTGTCAGGGCCATTTGTCCTTGGTCTGCTCACCTCCCAGATTCATCTTGAGATGTGGAGGAAAGGCCTCCTCTGACCCCAGCATGGTCCTGGGTCCTAACTCGTGGCTCCTATACCAGAGCCCAGATGCACCCACTAACTGCCTAGCGAAGCACCTGTCTTCTCCCGCGGACGGTGGCTCCATCACACGTTCTCGTGCTGCCCCGTCAGACATTGCTTAAACACATAATTACAGCCCAAGCTGTGGGTTATTTGCATTCTGCTATTGATGTTAGCCTGACAGATTCAGCTGCTGCATCTATAACTCTGCAGAAATGCTCCATTATTCAATCCCAGCGAGCAGGGACGTTGACCATTAAATCAGCAAGCACAATTGAAGGGCTGTGAAAAGTCATGGCTAATTTGAAATTTTATTAGCTATTGCCTGCTCTTGTTTACCACTGAAGCAGACCCTGGAAGCCAGTCTTTTACCTCTTTATAAACACTTTGCTCTGTGGCATCTTGGAAGTACTGCTCCCTGTTCTCTAGTCATGGGGGAAGATTAGCCAGGAATTATTGTTATTATTATTAATATTATATTAAATGATGATGATGATGACCACAGGCATTGTGCTAAATGCTTGACAAAGAATGCTTTCAAGGAATGTGTCATTGAATCTTCCCAGCTCTGTGAAGTAGCCGCTGTTGTCACCCTCACCCTCATTTTATTTATTTTATTCTTTAAAAAGATTTATTATTTACTTGAGAGAGAGAGAGAGAGAGAGAGAATCCCAAGCAGACTCACTGCTGAGTGTGGAGCCCAATGCGGAGCTTGATCTCATGACCCTGAGATCATGACCGGAGCCGAAATCAAGAGTTGGATGCTCAATTAACTGAGCTGCCCAGGCTCCCCATCACCCTCATTTTAGAGAGAAGGAACTGGAGGCTCAAAGTGGTAGAGTAACTTGGTCAAGTTCGTGTAGTCAGAGAAGGAGCTGACTTAGAATCTGAGCCCAGTTCTTTCTGAAGTATGAAAGGTTCTTTGAGTCCTGAAGAGACTTTTGGGAACTATTTCTTTTTTTTTTTTAAGATTTTATTTATTTATTTGACAGAGAGAGACACAGCAAGAGAGGGAACACAAGCAGGGGGAGTGGGAGAGGGAGAAGCAGGCTTCCCGCGGAGCAGGGAGCCCGATGCGGGGCTCGATCCCAGGACCCTGGGATCATGACCTGAGCCGAAGGCAGACGCTTAACAACTGAGCCACCCAGGCGCCCCATTGGGAACTATTTCTTAAGTGGAAAACATGAATTTATGAGTCTTGCTGAAATACCTCTCTTCCGTGCCCTTCCGGCTCCCTGGGTGAACCCCAGCACAGCACTCACTCCCCCTCCCCCCATCTAATGTTGATTTTCTCTGTCTCCTTCCCCAGACTGTGGAGCTCATCTCAGTATCCCTGTGCCTCCTCTAGCTTCTGGCTTCATCCTTGCTTCTGGAATCAGGCTTCCCCACACTCCTACTTTCTTTCCTTTTTTAAAAATAAATTAAACCGGGGCGCCTAGGTGGCTCAGTCGTTAAGCATCTGCCTTCGGCTCAGGTCATGATCCCGGGGTCCTGGGATCGAGCCCCACCCGCATAAGGGTCCCCGCTCGGCGGGAAGCCTGCTTCTCCCTCTCCCACTCCCCCTGCTTGTGTTCCCTCTCTCGCTGTGTCTCTCTCTGGTCAAAAAAATAAATTTTAAAAAAATCTTAAAAAAAACAAAAACAAATTAAGCCATCAATTTTAAAAACAAATCATTGTTTCTTGTGATCAGAGGCCCTTTGTGCTCTAGTTGGCCATTCTGCTGGAAATGAAAGTCTCAGCAAGGGCTCTGAGCTTCAATTCGGCCCATCTACAAAGGGCACAATCAGACGTGCCTCACAGCTGGGCTGGGGAGATTAGGTGAGATCACGGACATAAGCACTTGGCATGACGACCAGCACGTCTGTGCTTGGTAAACAAGAGTCCCTATTGGCTCCCTGGCCAGGTGCTTCCCTTCCCCAGGCATCCTCACAATGGACCTGTCCTGGCTCCCTCCCACACACATTTCAGGGCAGCCCTTTTCTGGATACAGCCTGGCTTTGAAGAACTGAACTAGACAAAGATGGCCTGAGAGACACACCAGTAAGTCAGGGAAGTGGATACCCAGGAGACTTGAAGATTGGGGTTCTCTGAAATGGAGCCACATCACGCAAGTGGGGCTCTCATGAAAGTCCTGGGATTGTGGGATGGCTCATGGGTACGCTTCACAGGACAGAGTGACAACGCCAGGCCAACAATTCTGTCTGCCTAGGCCTTCCTGGGTGGACGCTCCCTCATCATTTACTCAGCAAATATTTGCAAAGTAGTAAATGTGGGCTAAACCTCTGCTAATAGAGATGATCATTATTAAAGGAAGCCCCTGTTCCAAAAATGAGTGGGGCCCACAAAATTTTTAGCAAAGCTGCAGTTTACAAGACAGGCTTTCATGCAAATCCCTCTGTTTCCAAGGCAGCACCTGGTATAGCCTGATACACGGCATGTGGCTGCCCGCAGTAAGGGAGACTTCCATGCTTCCGTTTTCTTAGGCACAGGAGACAGACTTGAGAAGAGGCACGTTAAGAGGAAAAAGTAGCTTTGGGGAGAGAAAAGTAAATTTTGGGGTAGACTAGAAACACCTCAATGTACAGTTTTCATGATTCTCCAGTTTGGCTAGTTTGGAAATATTTACATTTTCCAAGGACTTCATATCTTACTTAACTGTATATTACACACAAGTCGGCTGACTTAGAAAATGTCCGTATTTCATTTGTATGCTATTCCCATTGACAGTCCTTTCTTATGGCAAACAGAAAGACAAACAAAAAACACCAGGAAAATAGGGAGGATTTTTCTCTATTTCCTTAAAATTTTCAGTAAAACCCTCTTGAACTCTAAACCCCAACTTTTGGGAGAGAACATTCCTCCCCACCGAAATACCCCTTTTCCTTCCTCTCTCTGCTTACATGGTGAAAGTGAAGGGGGCAGAAGGAAATGCGGGAGGCCGCTGGGGCTCCTGAAGGCTGGAGGATCACAATACCGGACCCAGCAGTGACCTCCAGACGGCATGGAGGGCAAAGGGAAGCGGAGAGGAAGTGTCCAGAAGAGTCAGGCCAGAGAGTAAAAGGAAAGATGGAAAAAAAGGGAGGGAGGGAGGAAAAAAACGGACAAAAGATGCAGGTCTCTGGGGCACTAAATGAACATTACAGAGGGGTTCAAGTCCTCGTGACCCTTCAACTTGAAGCTCCCCCCAGGGCTGAAATGCTACATTGTTCACGCAGTGCTGGCTTCTGCTAACATTTCCACCTAAGTGCTACTGACTTGTGGATAAAGGCCATGCTGTTTCCTCCAGCCCCCTCCTCAGTGCCTGCCCTGCTGGTGGGTGTCAAGTGACCTTGAGAACCAGGGAGTGGGGAATAGGAGAGAAAAAAAATCCAGGCTAGAAGCCCGAAGAGCCAGTTCCTTCCCCAGCTCTGTCACTTTCTCGCTGTGAGACCTTGGGCGCACCCCTTCCTATGTCTGAGACATCATTTGTTCATGTGACACCAGGACAGTAAGCTCTGTCAGCCCCTCAGGATTGCTGGCGGGTTCCTGGGTTGTAAAGAGGAAGTGAGTCATTCAGTGACGTTCTGGGGTCCTCCCCATGCCTGTGGCCATTCCCCGGAGCCCCCTCTGCAGACAGGTGCTATGACACAGGATGGGTGAGGTCCCCTGCCGTCAGTCCCTGTCCTGAGCAGCAGTGGCTTTTCTGTGATCTTAACAGCTGCCAGTGAGTGGTGGGACCCTGGGTGACTCCCCTCCATGCCTGATGTCGGTATCTTCCTCACTTGGGGGGTGGGGTCCATGGGGCAGCCTCTGGGGGCTAACCTGCCTGACAGCCACCTCCTGTCCTTTCTTTGCCACGGGCCCATCTCTCCTCGTGGCTGGCCAGCTGAAACTCCCTCAGAAAGCAAAAGGTGTGCCCTAGGATCCTATCGAAGGTGGTGGTTCAGCTAGCCGTCTCGTCTTTACAGATGAGGACACTGGGGCTTAGGTTAAGTGACTGACGACGTCATCCTGCTAGTGAAGTGTGGCAGAGCTGGGAGTTTGGTTTCTTATCTTTCTCCAAATCCAGCTGTTAGGCACTGTGCCACAGTCTACATCTTTTCTGTCCATGCTTTAGATGTTCTAGTTCCTCCACAGAGGGCAGGAACGGCCTTGTTGACTTCTCTACCCCAAATGCAGAGCACAGTGCCTTGCACACAGTGAACATCACATTTGTTGAGTGAATGAACAAAGAAACGAATGATGATCTGAAGACCCTGAGGCAGACAGCTCAATCACTTTGGCCGGGCGGTGGGGTGTGGTGGAAGCCAGTCCCCCCCCCCCGCACCCCACGCCCCGCACTGCCCGGGAGGAACTTATTCCTCTCCTTACAAAGGAGGCACGGGGCCAGGCCCGTCCCTTCGGCACCCACCATGTGGACAGACAGGAAGACGGTCACGCCTCTGTGGGACGCGGTGTGCTGGGTGAGCCAGAGACAACCGAGTGCTGGGAAAGAAGGAAGAGGTGGGGCCATGGAAGCCAGAAGCTGGGAATCCAGCTTGGGCTGCGGGCTGGGCTATATCCCAGAAGACCAAATGCCTGAACCGGGACCAGAGGGGTGGACATGAGCAAGCTGAGAGGAGAACAGAGATGGGAAAAGGTCTGAGAAATTCATGGACGAGCAACTCTTTGTGTTGTAGTTGTTTGCATGGTCCTTACACTCACGGCCCCGTGGACAGTGTGTAACACGTCCATCTCTCTCCCTGTGGGCTTAGCTGCTGCCCGGGCTCCACAGCCCAGCAGCCAAGCCTGTCTTACTGCGGCCACAGAGCGGCCTTACAGCAGCCCCTGAGCAGCACCCAGGGAGGCCCTGGGGATGGAGGGTGTGCCTCCCCCCCAGCCCCCGTACACATCTGGGAGAAGTTTTTGTCATTTGCTATAATAAACTCTGTGCCTTCTTTGAAAAGGCTTCCAAAATCTCTATCTGCCCCTTGCAACACAGGATTTTTAAAGGTCAATTTCTTATCTCTTATCACAAGAAACGTGGTTTAGAGATAGTCTGAAGGGTGACCGAATTCTACGGCTTTATGGGAACTCTCCATTCCAGCAACGGGAGATGGGAGGAGGAGGGAGGGCAGAGAGCTTTGTTCTCCACTCTCCTGAAATTTCTCCTTTCAGGTGGCATCTATCAATGATCTGTATTGCAATCCACGATCATTTTTCATGGGACCGACAGCGCCTGAAGAGATGATCACACCTTGAAGCTGCTTACAAATCCTTCATCCAAAGGGGTCTGGTTGTTTTAAGATTCCAGGGGATTTTATTCTCTGGCTTCTGTTTTTGAAACACCCATTCCATTCTAACCCTAGCTCTCCTGCTGATCCGCTGTGTGACATTGGGCAAATGACTTCAGCTCACCGAGCCTCAGTTTCCCCGCATGGAAACGTCTGCCCTGCATGTCTGTTGTGAAGGGCTGGACATCACGCCCACAGAGCGCTCAGCACAGCGCCTGGCACCAGGGGGTGCTCTAAACTATGGCTCTTACTTTCCTTGTGCACTTGAATTATCTCCCTTCTAGCAAGGAGCATGGAACAGTTTGGGATACAAATTTTAATCAAGAGATGAAAAAGGCCAAAATACATTGTTATATGGAGAAACACATTATAATCTGAAGTGAAATAAGTAGAGTGTAAAATTTCATAGACAGCATAATTCCAACTTTTTAAAATAATTATTTATATATGGTATATATTTTAATCATAAGTATCATGCTTCTGTGCTTACAGGTAGTAAGGCACAGGAGAACGGGAACTGATATTTGCAGGTGAGGGACTGAGGCTTAGAGAAGTTGAAGAGCCCACTCAGGGGCCTACAGTCAGCACACGGGAGAGCCGGGGTTTAAATCCCAGCCATCTGGGTAGAGATCCCGCACTTTTCATCGCTGTTCTGAGCTGCCTCTCAGGCACGTTGAGTGCACCTGCCATCCTCACAGTGACCCTGCAGGGCAAGCATTCTTATTCTCACTTTACAGCCACTTTGCATGTTTGGGCCACAGTTTCACCATCTCTGAAATGGGCACGAAACAGACATGCCCCAGACGCGTGACAGCATTTCAGGAGCGGTTTCATGGACCGAACTACACGAAGAAGGTAGGTGGGTCAGGGCCTTGTCAGGTGGGTCAGGGCCTCTCTGCCTGCCGGCCTTGCTGGTCCCTCACCAGCCAGCGCTCTGGTGACATCTGGAGGCGTGTAAAGGTGAAGGGACTCTGTCATTGCCGTGCCTGGCCTAGGGCCTGGCCCCATAGGAGGAACTCTGGATATTTATGGAGCACAAGAATTTTTTTCATTTCTCTATCTTTTTTACTCTCTCCTACTAACCTCCTGAGATTAGGAGAGTCAGGAAGGATCAACCCATCTTCTAAGAGGGATAGTAGAGCACATCGTGATTATATTTACCCAAGTGACACAACAGAAAAAAGAAGGTTAATGCTAGGACCAGTATAAGGATTGGAATGGTCCTCATGATCCAACTGCCCCATTTCATAAATAGGAAGTGTGAGGCCCAGAGACATCAAGTAACTTGCTTAGGGATACACAGGGGATCAACAGGGATTGCAACCCTGGTCTCTTCTCTCTTAGCTGAGAAATGTTCCACAAGACTAGGCCTCTCTTCCTTAGGGTCTGGACTGTGCAGCACTTGAAAAAACCCTACTAACTAAGACCAATTCTATTACAAACCCACAGGGACAGAGGGTGTGGGGGCAAAGGTGGCTTGTTGGGGGTTACTACCAGAATCAGGGGAGAAGGCATCTCAACCAAAGGTAACTCAACCTCCCTCCGCTGGAGAAGCATCCTTTCTGCCACTTTCTGTAATACAAAACTGGACGGGCCTCTTCTTGTCCATTTCCAGTAAGGGGGATTGTGTAACTTTGCCAGGCAACCCAACCCACTATTGAGTTGCTAGAAAATTCTTTCTTCCATATGGCTTCTCCCCTCCACTGGCTGTCAGATGACCATTAATTTCATTTCCATTAGTTCATTTAAATTAATTGAGACAGAACAACTAGAGACATGTACTCATTCCTTCGACCACATGTGCAGTTTTATGCCCGCCCGCTGCCCTGGGCCCCCGCCCGACCCCCGCCCGAGCTACATGGCATCCCCAGGTGCCGGAGCCCTACCTCCATCATTGTCTTTGCTGTCACCACAGGCAGTTTCCATGGATGTGTCACAGCCCGCTCCTCTCCAGCCCAGCTGGCAGACGCAGTGCCAGCCATTCAGGTCCAGGGTACATCTGCCATTGCCATTGCACAAGCCAGGGCAACCCTCTGCAAGGCAAAGCATACAGCATCAAGGTCTGATCGCCCACAGCCACCTGCGGTCACACACACTCACGCTCTGCCTGCCTGCTTGGAAAACTCGCTCACGTCCACCAGCATGCCGATGCCCTCAGCACCCAGGGAGGCTGGGATCGCTGGGAAGCGCCACGTTGCCGAGAGTGCTACCGAGACTCACAGGTGGAAGGACTTGCTAAGGCCGCCCGGTGAGGAGGTGGCACAGTTGGGAAGGTGGGGACAGGTCTGAAACTCACACCTTCTGCAGCGAACATCCCCTCTTTCAAAAGTGATCAGGATGCCCATGGGGGGAGTCCATGGATGGGAGCCTGACAGAAGGTGACTGATGGAAACTTTTGCCTGATCCCTGCTCCATGTTCATTCTGGTGTGTTTTTCCTGTTTCTGGGGGCTGTTTGGAACAAAAGACTCACCTCTCCGTTTACTCCTTATGTTCCCTCAGCACTTCTGGGTCTCATTCTAGAAGGGCTATCCTTTTTTCAGCACTTGTTACTGGGTCAACTACCATTGTACTGTTACTTGTACTGGACCCTAGGCTTTTCTTTTGTCCCGTTTTCTCCTAAACAACCGTTTGCTTTGAGGAAGAGCCCTTGGGTCTTCTCCTTCCCATCTTATGTATCACCACTAGGAAGAGGGTTCTACACGCAGAAGACCCTGATGACTGCCATGAGAGACTAGCTAGGGCTGTCTGCGATTACAAATGCAGGTACGGGCAGGCTGCCCTTCCCTGATTTTGTCCATCTGTACATCCACATGCCTGTCTTTTATCAAGCACCTTCTCTGGGCTAGCACTGGAGGTACAGAGATGAATAAGACCTACTTCTCATTCTTGAGGAGCATGCAGCCTATCAGACGAGACAGATTTGTATAAGCAAAATATTTCACTGCTAAATGCCCTCGGGGAGATGTACAAAATCTGGTGGGAACCTGATATGGGAGTGGCCATCTGTGTGAGAGAACCTTGGGTGATTGCATCAAGAAGGGTCAGGCGATGTTTAGATTCTGCCGTGGTTCCGCTTTGCCCATATCATAAGGTAGGGAGTTATCCTTACTAGTCAAGTAGATTTACAGGTTTTTTATTACCATCCTTTAAAACCCTTCTCTCTGAGTTCATGGCTCAGAAATCTATGTCTGAGAATCTGTTAAGTTACATGGTTCACTTCAGCTTCTATTTGGCCCTTGGTTTTCATTCAAGTCTTCATTTTAACACCTGTCAACTCCTTCCTCAGAGCGGCTTTCAAAAAACACCTTTCACTGGCCTACCTTCGGTGTCTCCTCTTTGGCCCTGCTCAGTCTCAGGGAAGGGTACGGACATCAAAGTCATCTATAAAACTTAATTTATTATTATGAGCAGCAAACTGCTACAAATATGGCTACAAAGTAAATCTGCCACAAAATAACTGAAAATTGACCCCTTATTCTTAAATGGGACCAGTGTGAATGTAGCTGTCCCATACAAGATGTAGGCTGAGGCAGGGATGCCCCAAATGACCCCTCAATTAGAATATAAAACTTTAGTGTTTCAAGGCCTGTTGGTAGTTGACTTTTATTACAAAGTAAAAGAAAAGAACATGTTCATTTGTATTTGAGATGTCCAGACAGCAGCCAATCAATCACTCTGGCCACCGTGTTTGTCATTCAAAGGAAGAAACAGTTATTGACTGTGCACTCCAAGCCTAGGAGGGATCCTTGCAGAAGTTTAGAAGCAAATGTGGACTCTGGTCTTTGCACAGAAGAAGCCTGTTGGGAAGGGTGGGAAGCCACCAGCATGGCTCCCCCACAGGTGACCAGGACAGCAGGCGTACAAGTGCAGGAACCGTGCTGTGGCATGCAGGTGATCAGCCAGGCATCGGACCCGGCTCACAACACCAGCCACCCTTCCCGGTCCAAGCAATTAGGGACCCCCTCTTTCCCCAACTAGTCCCATTTGAATGTTTATCCACCCAGCAGGAAGTGCCTGTTTTCAACGGAGCCCCATTTGTATTTGAAATCAGTCTTGGAGGAAGGAAGTTGAGTCCAATGGTTAAGAATGGTAGTAGATTGCTTTCTCTTGCTCCAAGATGTAGCCTCCCGTCAGCTGCAAAGAGTATAAGCCTGGATGCCCTACCAGTCTGGTTCAGCACTCAGTGACTTTTACGACCTTATTTAATTTCTTTGAGCCCCAGCCTACTTATACAATGGGGTTTTGCAGGGGATTAAATAATATAATGTGTGCATGATGCACAAAGCCTGACCTACAGCTTCAAGACAGTATATGAATCTTCTACTGACCTTTACCTTCTATTTTGAGTAGAAGGCATACAGTATCATGAGTTGTACCTATAACCTCACATAGGGCTCATAGAATGGCAACATGGAAATCTGAGGCACTTGTCTGATCAGAGCAGCCAATTTATTATCTGTGAAGGTCCAGATAATAAATATTTTAGGCTTGTGAGCCATAGGGTCTCTGTTGCAATTACTCAAATCTGCTATTGCAGTGGGAAAGCAGCCAGACATAACTTACAAATGAATGATGGCTGTGTTTTGATAAAACTTTATTTACAAAAACAGGTGATGGGCCAGATTTGGTCCGTGTCCTGTAGTTTGCCACCTGCTGGTTTAGAGGCTTCAGGACAGCGATACCATGACAGTTGCCATCTGCTGTGGGCCTACCATGGCTTGCCACTGTGCTAGACACTTCACACATATTACTTTTAAATTAAATAACTTTTTATTATTCTTTCAGATCTTGATTTTCTAAGGCAGTTCCAATTTCACACAATTTAATCCTAAATTGTAAATTAAAACCATGTGTTGTAACACAGTGTGGACTTTGGAACTGGGCAGACCTCAGTTCAAATCCCCATACTACCTTTTTAGTTACTACCCATGGGATAACTGGCAAATTATTTAACTCTCTCTGCCTCAGTATTGTCATCTGTAAAATGGAGGTAATACCTAATTCAAAGAGTTGCTGAGAAGATTAATGAAATAAGGTACGTTAATTATTTAGCAGGGTAGGTAACATAAGTAGGAATTCAATAAATGATAGGTGCTATTATTATTATTATTGAATTGATTTGTCTTAATATTGTGTAACTTCACTAAGAAATTCACAAAGCAGAAAATAACCTTTGCCAGTTCTAGCTGTATCAATGTTCGGGTCAAGAGCTATGGTCCTCATAATACAAACCCTGCCAAAGAGAGCTAAGACGAGCCCAGCAATGTGGTCATGGGGGTCAACATGCAGCTCAGTGGGAGGCAGCAGGATGGGTTCAAGGCCACGAGTCCCAGCCCAGGCCCACCACTTCATGCTTTCCTAGTGCTCTGTCCTCCTTGGAAGCAAGTGTCCCAAGTATACATAAATTATTAATTTTGCAAATAGTTTAATGTCTTATTCCCTCCATTAGAATATAAACTCCATAAAGGCAATGTTGGCTTTAACCCAGTGCCTTGCACATAGCAGGTACTCAAAGGGTATTTGTTCAATCAATGAATGAGACAAGAGACCTAGGTTCTGGTACCTGCTGCCTAACTTGTGAGATCTCTGCGAAGTTACTTTTCCTCTTTTGGCCTCAGTTTTCTTATCTATAAAATGAAGGTTCAGATGAGATGATGCGTTAGGTCCCTTCCAGTACAACCGACCCAACTGAGAAGGTCAAAACGACGGTAATTTTGATGATATTGTTTTTAATTTCAACAAACTTTACTCAGCACCTACTGGATGCCAGGCAGGTGTGTGTTAATTCTAGGGCATACAGAGATATATCTCATCTCTGTATGCCCTCTGCCCTCGATAATTTCATATTCTATTTACCTATACCTTACTTCGTTCCAGGAAGGACTTACAATGGGTCTCATACTCTCAAACAATACTTCTCAAAGTGAATTTTGCAGAAAGCCAGTTCTATGAGGTCCTCAAAAACAAGCTTCTGCAGTCAGGTAAGTTTGGAAAACATTTTATCCTATAATCTCATTCTAGAAAGTCACACTGAACATTAATACGTTAAAGGCTCTGAGGGTCTGACAATAAAGAAACTTGCTTATTTGATTATCAGGACATTTTCCAATTTGACCTCAGAACCTCTTTCCCCTATAACCACTTATAATAATGTGGAATATTCCATTCCACAAAGCCCTCTTTGGGAAACCCTGCTCCAGTGAGCTCGGCTTAGCCCACAATGCCGAGTGCACACATTCTGTGCTGTTTGGCATGCATTCTCGGGGAGGGGAAGCTCTATCTGTGAAATCACAGGAACACTTTAAATACCGTTAATTTCTTCAAATGGACCAAGTTATACCCTGGGGGTCTGCACTGTCCTATCGGTTTCGGGGTTTCAGAGGGACTCTGAGTACCTGTGGGTTAAATGAGGTTTGCTTTCAGCCAGGAGTTTGCTTCTGGAGTAATCACACCCCCATTAGCCAGGAAGAGGAAGCCTCCTCTGGGTTGACTTGCTGACTTTCTTAAAGCAAAATGCCCATCCTTACTCACCACTAAAGCTCGTTAATTCTACAAACTCTGAAACTCATTAATAATTCAGAGAACCCAACTGACATTAACAATCCCCTCTGGAAGGACTCACATCAGGCATTGCCAGAGCCAAAATAATGTAATTTCAAGGTTTAGAGAAGGCCTAAGCTTTTCAAAAGAAAAGATGCCCTTTAAATGACAAGGGACCACTTTATCTTCAGCCTTCTGTGTAAGCCTATGAAGAAGTCCCCTTGAAGCTAGCGTCAGGGATGATAAGAAGACTTTCCGAATCCTTGAGGATAGTTTTTAGTTAAGTGGCAAAGGGGCTGTGTGTTAACCCTACCATATATTGGAATGTCCCTTTCTTTATGGTTCTCTTTCCAGTCCTCTTGTACTTTTTCATCCCTACAGTCACCTCCCTAGACAAGGTCATCATCATCTCCCACGTTGATGATGGCAAGAGTCTCCTAATTGGTCTGTTTGCCCCCAAATGTTCCACCTCAACTCTTTTTTCCCCAATATGGCCAGACTGATCCTTCCAAATCACAAATGTCATCAAGCCATCATCCTGCTTTTAAAAACCTTTAGTAGCTTTCTCATATGCTTCTGCTAAAGTCCACAATCTTGGTCTACAAGGCCCTGCCTAAATTGCGGGGGGGGAGGGGGCGGTCTTCTTGCTAAGTGGCCCCTGGACATCTCCTAGCATAACCCTCATCACACTTGTTGGGATTATTTGTTTTATTAGTGTCTACTCTGCCAGACTGCCGGCAATACAAGAATAGGAAGCATTTCTGTTGTGTGGTATCCACATTTTCCGGCACTTAGGAGGAGTTCAACATATCTGTTAAGTGCATGTTTTTTCTTTAGTCTCTACTGATGCAAATGGAAAACAAAGAACAAAAGTCGACTTGTCTTTGATGGCATGATACTTTAATCTGACAAGTCCTGAGTTTGCACGGTACAGGTCTCTGAAATCTTTTTTTTTTTTTTAGGATTAGTATCCATTATACCAGAAAGTCAGCAGGATGGGTGCCTGGTTAAAACCTAAATTTAAAAAAAAGTTTGTCTTTTAAAGCAAGTTATGATTTATTGGCCTAATCCAAATAAAGGTCTGGTGATATTTTCTGAACTAAAGATCAGAACAGGTGGTTTGAGAGAGAATATGTCACTTCCTGGTGAGGGTGCCAGTTTGGAAGGCATGGTTTGGAGGAAGAGTATTGGAAATTATGGGACATTCTTGGTGAATGGTGATAGAAGATAGAATGCTGGAAATATGTAAATTCAAAATCCTGGCTCTGCCACTCACTACAACGATGACCCAGGGTGGGCCCTTCAACTTCCTCAACTTCAATTTCCTTTTCCAATAAAATGAGTATAGTATATCTTCTCCCTTAAAAAAATTCAAAGGACTTGCTTAAGACTCATGGATATGAAAAAAATTCAGATAGTAGGAAAAAATTCTACCAAATAGATGGTAACATTATTAAATTTAATCCATACTGAAGATTCCTCTGATAATGATAATGTGTGAAATGCACAGGGACTACACTCTTGCCGGAATGACTATATTCTCAGTTGAAGACCAGCATGTAAAATGCAAGGAACCCTGCTTCTCAACACCAGGCATCCATCTGGTGGGCCCCACTAACACCTTTCCTGTACTTGGCAAAGATATTCTGGTTGGAAAGCATGCAATCATTTCTGTTTCCCCCAAACCCTTTCCATAAGTTTTTAAACAGCAATTGCTATCTCTTATTAAAAGCCAATTTAGCCATTTTCTTTACAATTTCAACAATGATTCTGGCTAATGAAGTTCTCTAAATTAAGGATGAGAATAAGAATACAATGATAAAATAGCATCGCTAACGTTTATTGAGCATCATCCCTGCCCATGTGCTAAGCATGTTGCAGTGATTATTTTGCTTGATTCTAATGCCAACCCTATGAGGTAGGTCCTGTTACCAAGTTCACTGTACAAGGACTCCCAACTGAAGGGAGGTTAAGTAACTTGCCCAAGGTCACCCAGTTTGTTTACTGGTGGACTTGGGATTCATTCTCAGGCAGTCTGACTCGGAAGTATTTGTCCTTAACCACTGAGCACATAATCTGTGCCAGGTGATATGTTAGGACTTCAGGATAAAATGATGAATATAGCAGGATATTTCTCCTCAGGGGGCTTAAGGTCTTTCACGGGCACACATATCTGATCTTTCCCAGACTTACTCTTATAGGAGTCAGGCCTATTTAGAAAATGGGGCACTAGCTAATGAATGAAGATGTTGAAAATGGAATTACTTTGCCTATAGGGAACACTCCTCAAACGTAAAACTTACCAAACTCGGGCCTTCTCTGAAAAGGAAAAAAAGAAAAACCCAAGCAAACAGACCACCCACTCTCTGAGGTCAGGGGTCTGTGTCCCCAGTTGCCCAGAGCCTGTCACAGCATCTAACACACAGCACTAGTACTAGCAGGTGCTTCATATGTGCTTGTTGGATGAATGAACATGACAACAGTAACGTAATGGAGTTTGTTCAGACTTCTTAGCTTGCTCTGGGGACTCTTCCTTTCTCAGGCCACCCACCCTGGTCCACAGTATCTTAATTCTGATGGACTAGGGGCTGTAAGGGATGGGCAGGGTGACAGAAGATGGGGCAGAAAGAGTGAGGGGTGTATGTGTGTGCGTGGAGGGAAGGACAACGGCACAATGGTAACGTCACAAACACACTTTAGGGGGAAGAATGACGCTCCAGGTATATCAACCACCTTGTGACCAAAAACCCACCCTCTGGGCAGCGAATGCTGTGACAAAGCTGGGGATGCGGCAGCATCTAGACACCATGCTTCTGGGGTGTATATGCATTGTTTATATACATAGTTCTTCTTTTATGCTCATACACAAACACACACACACAAAGACAATAGGAAAATAGAGGAAGGAAGACCGTACCTTTAACTACCCTATCCAGATAGTGCGCTTGGGGAATAAAAGACAGGACGTTTAAGGTAGGATCAAGTAAGTGCAACACTGCCTGCCACATAACCATGCCAGGTGCTCAGGGGACACGGGGGGATGTGCCCCACATTTGGGACAGACCTGCCATGGTGGGGAAAATAAAACCAAAGACAAGATGACAAGAGAGAGAAGGAGAGCAAGCACATTCTCCAGGAAGGGTCAAAAGGAACTTCAACTCATTCTATGACCCAGGGGTCTGGAAATGTGATCGTACACAAGAAGACACAGGGAGAGGGAAAACGGGAGAAAAAGAAGGATGGGAAGCTGCAAACGTGGCCATGCTCCTGCTCTGTCAGGTGTGTTCAACTTTATGGAAAACTAGAACTTGCCCTTTGTCTACCCAGAGCTGCGTCCAACTTCCGTTTGGGGGAAGCAGCCATATAAGAACAAGTGTTCCCTGTCTGGGCAGAGGGGCTTCCCGGGAGCTGGAACTTAGAAATATGCAAACTTGGGATCATCTCTGATATGCACTAGGGAAGTGGGCCAAGTCTTTAGTCAAATATACCGCCAGAGTATCTGTTTGCCATTCTTGAATTTTCCATGGACACATGTGCCCACACAGACTTGAATGCGGAATGCTTGGTGTTCTAAATAAGATGCATTTCTCCTTGGTGCATCTTACAGAGAATGTAAGGTGCAGGTCAATGGATGTCACTGTGAAAAACAAGAAAGAAGAAAACAAAACCTGACCACTTTTCAATGCTCGTTAACGCAAAAGATAGAATGGTGTATGCTTTGTTTTCCAATGGAGGGGCTGCATTCAATCATTGGCTTACTTGGCAATCTAAGGTTTTGCTTCTCTGTGAGGATGGGTGTCAAATACTGCTCTAAAATAAACCCCCTGGTACATATATGGGGCTGTGTGTTGAAAGCAGGGCAGCCCTCCTAGTTCCCAGCATTAATCAGTACTACCATCTCATCTTCCCCACCTGGGCTCCTCACAGCTATTTGAGGAGCTTCCCTCTCACCCCCTTGCTACAGCTCCCCCACATGTGCTCCCACAAAGGCCGGACCAATGGCCACCTCCTGGAGAGCCTGAAGCTTTCTGCCAGGCGGGCCTCCATCTTCAGCTTGATTTCACACATGAATCCAGAGCCCATAACTAGGACTGGACTGCGATGCTGGGGCCTTATGTGGAAGCCTTAGGGTTCTAGCAATGGCAAGAACATTCTTCCCTTCTTCATAAAAAAATAAAAATTTATTTTTTCAGTCCGCTGGGTAGAGAAGACACTGTTGCCGGTCATCAATATATATTTGCCTCAAAAGATGGGTGGATGAGAGGCTATGTTTCTAGTTGAAGTTTCCATGTGGTCTTTGTTTCTAGACGAAATATGCTCCTGGAGTCTGTGCAGCCAAGTGGAAAATTGGGAAGAGGAGATTTTAACTGGGCCTGTGTGCCCCCCTTCATTCTTATAGACGTTATGGAGTCCATGAGAGCACAAGAAAGAAGAAAGTGGAGGAGAATGGCATATTAAAGCAAGAGTGTAAACAAAGCTGTGAAATGCTGAACAATGAAAGACAGGCCCAGCCCACAGGTAGCACGGCCCAGAAGGCATCTCTGGCTAAGGTGAAGACTCTTGATTCTTGGTTCATCTGCCACACTTGTCTTAGTCAAGCTCATTCATCTCATTTTTCAGAGTGACCTAAAATTTCTTAGAAATCACGTCCCGTGATATGTCACCTGAGAACAATAATACACAGGATCTCTGGACTTCCTGGCTCAATTGGTGTTCTTAGCTTTCAGAGTTTCTCTCACAGGGTTGGAAAGGATGATAAGGCTGGGTGAGACACCATCAGTAGGATCCAAGTGGCCATACCGCCATGCAGCATCCACTCTGAGGGAGTTCTTGCACAAGCAAAACCTTGCTTTTCTCCAAACTTAACGGTGATATCCTGGCTCTGGTGATGAGGACAGATTATACCTACTCTGTAGGCTAGTCTCCCCAAGCCTAGGGGCTGACTTCACAGAGCCCTCTCTTCTAGTGCCATTTTTTTTTTTGTCATTTCATTTTTAAGAACAATTTAGTAATAAAGATCTCTATTAAATGTAAATATGTTTCTAATACCTTTAAAAAATGCTTACTAATTTCTCCAGATCATGGGCAGGAATAGCAGCCCGTGGAAGTGACTGAGGCAGACTCAGGTTGCAATCAACACTGTGGATTTCAGGAGACAAAAGCAGGCATTCGAAACTTCAGATTCCGACTCCACAGACCACTGTCCTTTCCAACACAGTGACCCTGAGCCACACTGTAAGTCCAGAAGCTGATAACGGCCAGTCAATACCAAATCCAAGAGTTTTCTGGGAACGGAATAGAGCTTCCTTCTATTGAAGATGGAAGGGGTAACTGGACCTTTGAAGTCCAATGCCATTTATTTATAAAAGCCATATACAGAAGTCCATACTGTTGTCCATGCTTCTATTGTTTGAAAATCTTGGTACATATGCCCTTGAGTATAGTCACTTAAAAATCCACCATGATTTTAAAATAGTACCTTTCAGGAAAGATGATACAAAGTCCATGAGTTTGTACTTGTGGATGGTGGATTCAGGACTTCACAAAATTCCCTCATCTTTCTCCTCAGGACTTTGGGTTGAAGATGATGACAGCAGCGTCATCTTTCCTCTTAGGCCATGCTTATTTTTTCAACATTGCACAGATGTTTCTTATGCTACTTCTCTATTCCTGTCACTCTGCAAGAAGCTAGAGATAGTGGTGGTGCACAGTTATTTATGACACAGACTCTGGGTCTTTGGCATGAGTCTGTGAGGTCTTAGATCTCCTCAGCATTTCTATGGCCTTCAACATGCAAACTTCTTTCCTTGACTTGCCTGCACCCAAACAAGTTTCCGTAAGTTTCTCTGAGGGTAACCCCAAGAAGCTTTAGGGGTCCCCTATCAAACGCTGTGGAAAGCGTGGCTGAGGATCTTCACTGTCATTCTCCAGGAGCCTCAGTTGCCTCTAACAGCTGTATCACTGGTACACATTAGGCCAGATTAAACAAGGATCATTATAGCAGGTGATGGTTAGGGTGCTTATAATCATGTAAGTTCTTTAGATGTTTGACAAATCATCGAAGAGATGTTCTTGTTAAGATCTTGGATACATTAATCCCCTTTGCTTTGGATGAAGGATCGATGAGTAAATGGCCAATGGCACCCACCTGAGAGGGACTCACAAAGCCTTACTAATCTCCTTCCAGTTTCCCACCTCCACCACGTGTGGGCTAACATCTCCCAGAACCAATGACTCATCAAGCTCTTGCTCTGATAACTTAGGGTAGACCCCTGTCCATTTTCTCTTGTCCTTGTCAGCATCTGTCCTGCCAGGTCACAGGTCCAGTTGTGAGAGAGTGTTTTGAAGGACGAGGGTAGGGCTATCACACAGGCTCTGACACCTTGTGAGGGTCTTGTAAACTCTGTTAAGGACTGTCTGGTTACAAACGAGAAACGTGAGAGCTACCATTCAAAAGTGGACAAAGAACTCTAGAAGATTGTGTGGCCTTTCTTTATAATCTCTTTTTAACGTGAAGTCTGGCTGGGCTCACTTGAACAACTGCATCATCAGAGTATTATTTTGATTTTAACTCCCAGAGGAGGATTTGTGTAAGAATCAAGATTTATATGATTGGACAGCTCTCCTGAAGCCTAGTAAATAATTCTGTGTATCTGGCATCTTGAACAATCACAGCTTTGGGGGCAAGGTTGGAATTTTACAAATGTAATCAGAAGCTGGCATTTCCCACATGTGTTTTGAGACTTTATAGACAAGGGGCACTGAAGTGAATAAAATAATGATTGTAGAAGTGATCAAAAATGATAGTACTGTTTTCCAAGAAATAGGAAAAAAATTAGACACCTTCTCAAATTTAACTATGATTCTTAGCTTTTTCTAAAGAATTGGGAGGTCAAGGCCCAGACTTGAGACCCATGAAATTCCTGGAAAAGACATCCCCGAATATACTTTTGATGACTCTGTGTTGACCATATACTTGACAGAAAGAGCGTCAATTCATCTTACCTTAACTTTTGGATTAGGAAAACTGAGTTTCATATATGCAAGTGGGAGCATTACTGACAAGCAAGAGCAAAAAAGAAAAATCCCTTCTTATTTGTGGGATATTTTTAGGAGCAGGATAACTCAGTTTTGGGATGATGGATGTGCAGTTCTGCGGCCAGTGGAGGGGGAGGCCAGAACTTCATCACCCTTGGAGGCCTCCTCCAGCCTCCCCGATTCTGTGATTCACGGAGGGAGAAAACGAAGCCCCTAGCCACCAGGTGGTCTGCCCATGGCCCTTTCACCAAAGACCTTTCTTGAAGATGCAGAGATAGATAATTCCCAACATAAGGAATTAGGATTCAATGTGAATATTCTTGCTTTTTGACAAAAGTACTGTCATTAAAGAGGATGCTACCGTCCATTTCCCTTTTGTTCTGAAAACCAACCTCTTCTGGAGAAAAATCAAGCAGCTTCCATAAAAGAAAAGATGGACCAAAGCCTCCTAAAGGAGGTATTCAATTCCTACTATAATACTCTGCTCTGGGAAATGTCACTGGGGTGAAAAGATTCTTAGGCTGGGGACTTGACCGTAAGGAGCCCAGACTTGTCTTGGTGTTTAATGCCAGTTGGCAGGTCATCAAATCATTCTTTCCTGTTTATGGAGCCAGCGGTATATAAATAAACAGGCCCTCCTCTCTTGCTTCTACTTGCATGGAGGTCTCTGCATTAGTGTCATGGATTCCAGCTTTTTCTCTGGCACAGGACATAACTGTACTCCAGCACATGAACTAGCTGCGCTATAATGACCTCTTGTATAGTAATGAAATCTGATAACAAGAGAAAATGTAATACTTTGAATTTCTAACTTTTCACACCAACAGTTTTTGTCTTTTCCTAAATGATCCTCAAAGGGAGTGAGGTTCCCTGGAAACATAAGAAGGTGCTTCTTATTCCCAGCAAAGGTTAAAAAGGGCCTTCTCCTTCTCATTTCTATTCTGAAAGGAAAAAAGAAGGCACCACCATTGTTTCTCTCCTTTGCGTCTCCTACCCCTTCCCTTGTACTGAACAAGGTGATGGAGTGTTCCTTCAGCACTAAGATGTTGGGTTTCTCATTGGGGATGCAGCTGGCCACAGGCAGAGACCCACGGGGAGCAAGTTGCCATGCGGGGAGATAAGACAGGGACAAAGGAAATGCTCACCACAAAATGAAAGGTAATAGAATTCTGAGCCAACGTCCTTTCATCTGAGCCACTATGACTAGTCCACTACTTCTTCAATGTCCTGTGACATTTTTCTGGTATTTGTGATTGTCAACCTCCCTCTCGAATTGTGCACATTTACCTTGATGCATTTCTTATCTGCAGCGCAAAAAGCATCTGCAATCCCAAGGAGGAATTTGCTCTTAAAGAGTGACAATGGGTGTGCGGGTGTGCAGGGCTGGGGGAGGGGGTGGGGGAGTGGGGGTGGGAGGGGATGCTTTGACTTCTTGGCATCCAAACACACTGGATATTCTTCAGGCCAGGCTGATGAACATCCATCCACAAGACACGAGATGCAGCACAACCTGCCCACCAGCCCTGGTGTGAATCATCTGTGATTGGGCTCATGGAGAATTTCCTGAAATCCCTCATCACCATTTGACTAAGATGAGATGCTTTTATCTTATAAGAGTCTGCCATCCATAAACTTTTTGGAACTTGGTAAGGTGAGCTGAGGACTCTGTAATTAAGTGATAGAAAACAGAATGTACTCTCTCTGGGCTCTGCTTTTGGTTTTCATAAGGATGGGCTCCCCTTCTGGGCTGGGAGGCTAAAAGGTCAGCCTGTCCTCAGTCACGGGGAAAAGGAAGGGTGAGGGGAAAGTGGGGTTTAAAGAGGACCCCGCGAGTGACTAGGGCCACTTCCCATGAAGGGGTGTTCAGGTAGGATGACACGGACATGAAGGAGCCACCCAGAAGCGTGCATTAAGACACTGCGGCACCTGCTGCTGGGGACAAAGTGGGGAGGGCTGCCCTGGGCTCTGGAGCGGCTCTGTTAAGGGTCTGGGATGGGCAACTAGGTTCGCAGCTCCGAGTGCAACAGGAATGAGGAGGCACAGCCTCTGAAGGATGTGAGCCAGATGCCTCGTAGAAAACCCGGCGTCTGTCCTGTGAGCTGCAGAGCGAGCAGCTGGTACAGGGACCCCGCACCGAGGCTCTGGAAACCAGGCCTCAAATTCCTGTTCTACTTCTTACAAGCTAAGTGACCTCAAGCCTCAGGTCCCCGAGAAGGAGGGAATAACATGCATGCCTCCACAGGGGGACTCTTTGGAGTATAAAATCATGCAGTTAAAAGCCCTTAGCACATGCTTGGCACATTGTAAACGCTCAAAAATTAGAAGCCATTATTATTGTTAATAAGCACAAGGCCTTCCACTGCCATTTATCACCAGGGTGAGGTTGTGGACAAGGGGATGATGAATATAGACTAATTTCAGATTACAAAAGGAATGAAGCCTAAAAAAAAAGGAAAAAAGCAGTGGCTCCATTTGCTCAAAAGGTCTGGGGCTCGTCTCCCAGTTTCCGGAAGGCCCAAGAGGTGATGTTTAGAGCTGGAGAGGCACCCGGAATCCAGCCTTCCAAAGCCATGTGCTTGCCATCTGATCACAGACCCTCCCTTTGAAAAAAATGCAAGGGGAAGAAGTTAAACACACACACACAGACCAGTTGATTCAATAGAGAGCTTTTGGTGAGTGCTCCTTCCAGGATAATAAACCAAGCAAAACGTCTGGCTGTGTTTAAAATCAACAAAAGCAGCAGGCAAGGCAGGAGGAAGGGAACGGAGTGATCAGCTTGGTCCGAGACCTGCCAACAGCGCTGCTTCAGCAGGGACGGCCTGAGGAGCCCCCAGGGAGCAGAGAGGAGACAAATGCAGACAGGGTGGAGGCTGAGGACAGGGGAGGGAGGGATCCAGGCCTGATGGGAGGCAGATGTGGCCCGGGACCCATGGGAAGCTTTTCCGAGGATCCCGGGCCTGTGGGGGTGGGGGGCTGAGAGCAGATCAGGAATTTCATCATCATGGCCACACTTATCGAGCCCTCTACTCCGTGCCAGCCATTATATAGGTGAGCAAAACGAGGCTCAGAGAGGCGTTAGGACAGCTCACAGCTGCTAAGTGGTAGTCGTGTGCCTTACTCCTGATCCCCAGCTCCTCAGTGCAGAGCCCTACTGCAGCTGGCCCAGGAGGGGCACACAGCAAGGCACGCCAACCAGCTAGCAGACATCTGGGAAATGCAGACTGCGAGGGAAAAGGTGAAAAAGGCCCAGTGGTGAGTTTAAGTCCAGTCGCTGCCGGGAAATGCCAACCATAATGTCGCCAGATGAAAGGACTTTGTGCCCAGCTCCCACATGCGGACAGAGGCAGCATGCGCCCCCCCAGCAGACGCACCCTCCCACCCCCCGGCCCCGGGTGTGGGCCCGCCATACCGATGGTGCAGTGCTCGCCGTTCCAGCCGGGGCTGCACTCACACTTGCCGTCGCGGCAGGTCCCGTGCTCGGCACAGCGTGGGTGGCAGGCCCGCTGGTCGCAGGCCGCCCCCATCCAGCCTTCTTCGCAGCGGCAGGTGCCCCCCACGCAGACACCGTGGCCCCCACAGTCGGCAGCACAGATCTCTGTGGGGAGGGCGGTGGGGGAGGGAGGGGAGAGAGAAAACACATTTTGAGCCGGTCACCGTCGGGAACAAGGGTCACACTTGGCTACCTACCTTGGCTCCTGGGAGGGACCCATCCGGATTCCGGAGGCTTGGGAGGCTAATCTCCCCGAACAATGACCCTCGGGTGAGAACAATTCTCCAGGCAAAAGCCCGTCCTGAGCCCACTGCCCTTACCAAAATAGGCCGATGGAAGGGCTCTGCTCTGTTTGCTTTCCCCTACCACCAGCCCGTCCCTGCTTTTGTGCTCACCACTTCCAAGGGGGACCGGCCTTCTGAACAGATGTGAGGAAAAGTCACATTTAATTAAAAACTGGTAATGTGTGAAAACAAAGTGAGGACGAGTCCCTGATGGCCAAGGGAAGTGCTCGTGGGTCTGGCTGCGGCACGTGCAGGGGGTCTGGGGCCCGCATTTCCTTCCAGCCTGACTGTCCTCCAGGCGGGGTGAAAGGGAGGCCGGCCCCCTACACCCCAGGGTGGGGGTGGGGACTTTGGGGGCCGGTTCTGTGCTTTTGCTGCCCGTGCCCGTCCCCCTGCACACTGCCTTGCCACTCTAATTCCAAGCACCCCCTCCATGGCCTTTTGGATCCAAAGCAAATTGCTGGGGGACCGCGTCACAGCCAGAGTCGAGTCGCCCAGCCCTTCACAAAGGCCCGTCTGTGACTTGGTGCAGAATGCACACGGCCCAATTCACAAGGCCTCGGGCGTGGGGCCAGTGACAGCTTCCCCGTCACACAGGCAGAGGTGGTGAAGGCTCTGACCCAGGTTTTTAGGAAACAGGTCGTGCAGCCATGGCTGTGGGTGCTCTCTGCCAGGGCTGTGACAGGGACCCTGCCTGCAGTCTGTGCCTTATGGCCCAACAGTCTTCGAATGAAAACCCCAACGCTTTTGTTCTCTTTCAAACTAAATTAACTGGCACTGTGTCAGGTTGCATTTACCCATGACAGCTTGGAAGATTCCAAGCCATATTCCTGGTTTAGAAGCTACTAATAGTCTAGCTATTTTTTTGAAAAAGGGGATAAATCAAAATTAGATCTCAGAGGCTGAGACCTTCCACATCAACCTACAAGGCAATGGCTATGATGTTTGAGAATTAAAAAACAAAACAAAACAAAACAAAAAAAAAACCCGTAACACAACAGTTGAGTCACCATTTATGGGGTGTCCCTATGCCCGACACCTTGTCAGGCACACTACCTGGAAGGGAGGTACTACACGCAGAGGCACGTCGGATTTTTCACCTGCCCAGAGGAGAAGGTCCACTATAAAATGGGTGCAAAGAGCCCTGACCTGGAGCTGGGGGGCCCCGGGTTCTGTGCCAGGCTCAGCAGCTTCTGAGCTATGTGACCACAGGCAGGTTCCTTGACGTCAGGGATGTATCAAGTGTGGGCCGTGACGAGGACGCCTCACAGCACCTCTGCTGACCGTCAGGGCTGTGGTGAGCACCCGGTGAAGTGGAACATAGAGAAGGGCATGGCAGAGATGCCTAACTCAGGACAGGTTTCTGAGGACAGTGAACTTTAGACCAGGAGTCCAAGGACCAGGCGTGCAAGGCCCATGCCTGCTCAGCCACTCATCTGCTGTGTGACCTTGGGGACGTCATTCCCCCTCACCGGGTGTTGGGTTTCCTCATCTGCTTCAGGGGGAATCTGATGGCATCTAAGGTCTCTCTGGCTCTAAGACGGTGGGAGTCTGTGATATAAACACCCTCCATGTTATACAGCATAATCTACCCCCAAGGCTCAGCTCAAGGGTCTCTCCTCTGAGAAGTCTGTGACTCACCCTGTGGTTATTCTCTCGTTCCTTGCCCTTCCATACTACATGGTAAACCGATTTTCTGTTTCTGTGCCTGTCTCACTGTCAGACCAGGGATATCTGAGGCTGGACCGGATTTTCCTGATCGCTTCTATGCTTGGTACCCAGCACAGAGCATGGCACAGAACAGACCCTTAATTGAAGTCTGTGGGATAAGGGATGAATCCTTGGGTGCCTGGGGCTATAGGCGGCCTGAGAATGTAAAATGATTCATTTACACCCTGCTCAGCCTGGCTGAGGGTCAGTCCTGGCCTGTCTCTAGTGAGCTGGCCTTACGGAAACCTCCCAGGTTGGGGTGGGGCTGTGGGCTAGTGTCACTACATTCAGCAGCCCTCCAGGAATGTGGCTTTCTCAGGACTTTCTTCGAGCTTCCTTCCCTCCTTCTCACACAGACAATGTCTTGACACAGAATGACAATCTCCAGGCCCCAGGCCTTCCGAAGTCCTGTCTCTGAAATTTCTAACCCTTCTGCACAGTAGTGACCTCTCCGTGACTCTGAGGGCAGGGCTTGCCTCAGGGCTGGAACTTTCCCCTGAGAGACCGGGGAGGGACAATTAGTTTAGCATTTGTCTGGCTTTACTCAGCACTTTTTCCAGGTGGCAGTTTATGGTGTAAAAGTAAATAGCAAACAGCGCTTCTATTCAGTGAGGTGTGAGCCAGCAGAGGGACAGGCTGCTTGGGCCAAAGCCTTGGTGTTTTCAGGCAGCAGGGCATATAGAGTTCAAGGGAGTCTAGAGCACAAGAGGCCACCTTTCCCCAGCATTTGCCTGACTTCAGGCCTTAGCTAAGGTAGGCCATTCCTATATTAATTAAACGGAAGGCAGTTGTGGACAGAAGAGCGTCAGATTTAGATGTGATTCCAAATATGTTCTGCCAGTTATGCGACCTCAGGCAACCTATCCGATTGCTGAATTTCGTTTTCTTCTTCTGTAAAATGGGGATGGTGACAGCATCCCTTTAGAGGATGCCTGATAGATAGTAGGTATCAACGCAGTCATACTGATTCGCTCATTATTCCTATAGTATTCCAAGCATGCCTACTATATGCTGAAGACCGTGGCTGGTGCTAGGAGTACAGAGAAAAACCAGACCTAATCTCTGTCCTCTGGGAGATCACAATCCAGACAAAGCTCAAACCGGTATTGGAATCCCAAGATCATCCAAATAATCTATAGTGTTTACTGCTGCACTTCTTGCTTATATGCCGTAAATAAAACACCATGAATTTTAGGATTAGACAGATCTGGGGTTTACCCTTGGCTCTGCCACGTATTGGCTGGGATATCTGCCAGTGGCAACTTATGAAATTCATTGAACCTCACTTTCTATCTCCGTGAAATAGGTATAATAATTCCCATTTCACCCATGTCATAGGATTGGTGTCAGATCAAATGAGGTAGCGTGTGGGGAAAGCCATTTTTGGCTTAATAACTAACACTTATATCAGGTTTTAGAGTTTTGAAGCACCCTTCCTATACAATTTCTCATTGAACTATCACAACAATGCTGTCAGAACCCTTGGTTACTATCTTTCCTAGAGGTGAGGCCACTACTGAGACCCGGAGAGCATCAGCGGATTCTACAAGGTCATATGGTCACGGGTATTTCTCCCTTGTTTGGACAATTCCCAGAGCCATGTGCCAGAGTGACATTGTAAGATTAAGGAAACTGATCAGCAAAGAGGCGGGCTCTCCTTGTGGGGACTTCCTGGTTCTTCTAGCAGATCTGTCTCCTTTCCTGGCCCTGTTGCTCATCCTTTGTTATATCCAAGTCAGCCCCTGGATCGATGTCAAATGAAATGAGATCCCCTACATAGAATTTCCCAGACACTCAGTCTTACTTTTGTCATCTGGAGACTGCTGGGCTGTCCATCTAAACCCTCCACTTCCTCGCCAGTTTACACTAGACATGCTCTCCTGGCATGAAGCTAAGGTTGCCTGGTGGCTGGGCACCTCTCCGTCAGCCTTTTACAAGCTGGGTTGTGAGCTCTTACACATTTTAACGGAAGGGGCCTGAACAGGGTGACCTTGATGTTTATGGGGTGCTAACTGATGGCAGCACAACCTGTCAGTGTTCAGGTTCTCCTCTGCAGATGGCTTCTCTGCCTGCATGGGAGACGCACTGACTCCTGATGGGAGCAGAAATCGGAGCTGCTACTTTATCGTTTGGCCCTGAGTTGCAGGCCCTGTTGTTATTTTTCTTATCTGTCTCACCTTTGTTTGTTTGTTTGTTTGTTTGTTTTTCCCCTTGAAATAGAAGGAACTGCTTTAGTTTTCCTTCTTGATTTTGCTTTGACATTAAAGCAGATAGAACTTCCCAGAGTGGTTGCTGGGAACTAAATAGGATGATGCCGAAGAATGTGCTTCAACAGGTTATCTGTCCCTTACCTAATGTAAGTGGTACTCTGTGAAATTCGGGTCACTGCTCCTCTCCAGTCCCAGCTGCCTCATGTGTAATGTGGGGATGATACCAACAACTGGAGAGGGTTGTTGTAGGAATTACTCTCACTTGTTTAATTTCTTGAGTGCCCACTATGAGCAAACCCAACAGAAGGCACTGGGATCCAGTGGTGATTGTGACAGGCATGGTTCTCTCCTGACCTCAGGGAGTTTACTCTAGCACAGCAGAAGGACATGGCCGCAACCAGTTACGCAAGTTAACGTGGGCAGAAGTGAGACTTCTCCAGAGTGCCTGGCACACAGTTTGGGGTATAGTAAGTTCTGTACACACAGATTCTTGTGCAAGAACAAGGGAGGTGTAGCGGCACGTGCACTGGACTGACGTCAGAACATCAGAGGTGAATTCTGACTTATGGAACATACCCGATACAAGTGAGCACTTGATCAATGCCCATTGACCTTCACATGACAAACATCAGAGCTTACTGGCTGAATGCTGGAGGGCTCGGGCCCCGAGAGGAATCTTTTCAAGTACTATGGAGAATATCATCTGTAGGGTAGACTTGGGCTCAGATTCTGACTCCCCAGTTTCCTTGGGTCCTTGTGGAGTCCTTGGAGACTTAATGACTCGATCTCTCTGAACCATACTTCTTCACACCCAAAGTGAGGAGAGTAATCATGGTCCCCCACTAGGTGAGTGGGGGTAATGGAAGAGAAGGGTATATGTGAAAGGCCCTGTGTAACTTAT